GCCGGCGGCTGATAGGGGGGCCCCTAGGGGGCCCCCTATAGGGGCCCCCATGGGGGCCCCTATAGAGTTTGCCGTCAAGGGGGCCCCTAGGGGGGCCCCTAGGGGGTACCCTTCAGAGACCTGTTGGGGGGCCCCCCCTAGGGCTGCTGATAGGGGGGCCCCCAGAGGGGCCCCCAGGGGGCCCCCATGAGGATGTTGTAGGGGGGCCCCCAGGGGGCCCCCTAGAGGGTACAGTGGGGGGCCCCTATGGGGGCCCCTATGGGGGGCCCCCCAAGGGTTGTCTTTTGTATTGATGAGGAGGGCTTGCAGCTGGTTTGCTGCTGCTGCATCTATCTGCTGCAGCAGGGTTGTTGGTGCTGCTGCTGCTGTCTTTAGGGCCCCCAGTAGCTGCCGCAGCAGCGGGAGGGAGAGGAAGGGGGGCCCCCCATATTGATTAAAGGGGGCAGTGTTCTGCTGCTGCTGCTGCTGCTGCTGCTGTTGCTGCTGCTGCTGCTGCTGCTCCAGCAGCTGCAGCAAAGAAAGAAGACAATCGATAAATATACGCTTACTATCATCCTGCTGCTGCTGCAGCAGCTGCTGCTGTTGCTGCTGCAGCTGCTGCATATGCCTTTGCTCCTCTTCTTGCTGCTGCTGCTGCAGCTGCTGCAGCTGCTGCTGTTGTTGCTGCAGCTCCTGTTGCTGCTGCTGCTGCTGCTGCTGCAGCTGCTGCAGCTGCTGCCGCTGCCGCTGCTTCAGCTGCCTTCGTTCGCGCTGCTGCTGCTGCTGCAGTTGCTGCAACAGCTGCTGCTGCTGCTGTTGCTGCTGCTGCGCTAGTGTTGACAAGAAAGAGCAAAAGCAGCGACACAGGGACTCGAAGGGGCCCCTCATCTGCTGCTGCTGCTGCTGCTGCTGCTGCTGCAGCAGACGGCTGCTGCTGCAGAGGGCTGCAGCAACAGCAGCAGCAGCTGCTTGCTGCAGTGCTGCTGCTTCAGCTAGCGCAGCAGCAACAGCAACAAGAGTAGACAAAGATGCCTCCCTGTCTCGCATTGCTGCTGCTGCTGCTGCTGCTGCTGCTGCTTGTGGGGTTGCTGCTCTCCCTGGTGCTGCTGCTGCTGCTGCTGCTGTTGCTCCCTCACCCGGTGCATCCGCTGTTGCAGCAGCAGCAGCAGAAGCAGCAACAGCAGCAGCAGCAGCAGCAAGCTGTTTGTTTGCTTCTGCGTATATCTGCAGCAGCAGCTCCTCTATCTTCTTCATATCGTCCTCTTCCTTGGGGGCCCCCCTGGGGGC